TCGACGAGACGCGTGCGCGAAACATATGGCACTCTCGCGCAGTGAAGCCCCGGGAGGCGGTACTCCAACATCCTTTAAAGGAGTAATTGCTTTTGGAGGGTGTGTGCCTCCTAGATTGGCTACGTGCTTCGAAGTCTTAAACGATTGTGAATAACCTAAGAAGCCTGTAAGGGTTGCTTCGTGAAGATTTGCCTTAGTGAGGCTAGTCCCTCGTGGGCTTACGCCATGGTGGAATATGTTGGTTTCTCCTCTGTGGATCCTTTGTGGGTGAGTGTCCTCTGTAGACCGTTCCTTTATGGAATCTTGTAGTTGAGATCCTTGTGATCTTAGACCCTTCGTGAGTCAAAGCTTTCATCAACATGGATGTAAGACAACACCAACTATCCGAACCACGAAAAAAATTTCTTCACCGAGCCAACCCATGTTTGCTCATATCTAATTGTACTCGTTTACTTTCACTTGCATGTCTTTACTTTCCAATGCTTATACTCTTGTAGACTTGCATGTGTAGTGTGCTTGATAGATTGCTAGAAAATCATAAATTGCCAAGGAAGTTAAAATCTGAGAAAATAATCCATTCTTTGATTTATTAGTCTATTTATCCTCCCTCTAGACATACTTATCGATCCTACAGAAGCCCTCGTCGAGACAAGCTCACCAGTGAAAATGGACCACTAATTGGGTTAACGGTTTGTGAGATCAATCATTGCGGCTGGAAGAATGTAATCGCAGTGGTATCTGTAACTAAAACAGTTAGAACAAAACAAGGATTATGTCCAAGGCAGCATAATCTATTATACCACAAAAGGGACATGTAATAAAGAGTCCATGAATTTGCAATCCGATGAACCATGGCATGAATTTGTAATGTGGCATAATAGGGACGAAGATAGTTGGATGGATGTAAAACGACTTGAGAAAGAAGACGATCAAGCGAGCAAAAGGAAGAAATTATATGACATGAGAGAGAAGAGTAGTGCAACGTGACAATGCAAACCGATCAACCGAGGAAGAAGTGTTGGAGATATGCCCTAGAGGCAATCATGTATGATGATATTTCCTATGTGTTTATGAATAAAGATAGTCCTTGAATGTAATCAATGATACTTGTTGGCAAGCACGTGACTTGTCTGTGAGATCTTGTGTTGTATGATACACCCTAAATTGTCCCTAGTCGTAAGTGACGTGTGGGCACACGTTGGACTAGACTAGAATATGACACGGTGGATGGCTCGGTCTCACTAGCCATGGAGCATTGGATGCTAACCGGATAATATGGACTCGGAAGGATCTGGTCGGATTCGACATAGTCGAATCCGAGTCGAGATAAGGTCCGAGTCGGATAGACCCAACTATGAGACACAGCGATATGTCATCTATGAGTCTCTAGTACAACATACATTCTATGTCCTAAGACCTGAGTTGACGCATGTACTCGGGATAGTGACAGACTTGCTTTGGGCCGACCAAACGCTATTCCGTGACTGGGTAGTTACAAAGGTAGGTTTCGGGTTTGTCCAGTCCCATGCTGCGAGACATGGGCGAGCAAGATGGAATTTGCCCCTCCGATCAGGAGAGATATACTTTGGGCCCCTCGTGTGATCCGACCAGGATAAGCATGGTCATGCGACAAGGATTATGAGATAATCCGGTTTGTGGTCGGTATCACTAGAATGAGAAAGAGGTCGGGCTAGCACAAGGATGACAACCTCGCCTTGAGCCCGACAACATATATCGTGAGGCAAAGGGAACAGAAGTGTGACACGTTGTACATGTTTGCCTAACTAGCTTCATAGTCTGCTTGATGGTCGGCACGCCTTGCTAGAGGCTGCTACCAACCATGCAGGTCGGAGGTAATTCGAACTGTGACCGAGCCAACTTGAACCTAAGGGGTCACGCGCTTAAGGGAAGGAACCTACAAGGTCGGTTCAGAGGACACTGGTCGGATGTGATCCGAGCTGGACTTGGAACGCGACCGAGTAGACTTTGGGCTTTAGGATCGCAAGGCCCAAGTGTTGAACCCACGACGGATGCCTATAAATAGTGGAGGTGCGGCACACTTATTGAGTTGATCGCTTCGGCGCCGTCGTTAGGGCTTTGCATGTGTTGCAACTGGCCACCTCCACTCGCCGCCGGTTGTGTGATCGAACCTAGCAGTCCGCCGCACGACGTTCCTCCTGCACGTGCAGATACCGTTAGAGGCGCTGCACTTGCACCGCTCCGGTGAACCTGTTCGCGGGATCCTATCGGCTACGTGGGAGACCGGTAAGGAGGAGACGACTCTGGGAACGCGAGGCGACTCCGGGAACGCGCTGCCTCAACTCTACTTTCGCTGCACGGCACTACGCGTCTAGTGGTAACGATCTGTGATCCATCTCCCGTAGCATGTTCATGGTTGTTCTGCGCGTAGGAAAATTTTAATTTGCAGTCGACGCAGCCTACCGTAGGACCCAACAAGAAAAAGATGAACATAATCAATGGATGAAAACTCAATTGAAAAGAAACATCAGCTGAGAACAAGACGGACAAAACTTACAGAAAAAAGATGTAGAAGAACGGTTGGACGAAGTATTAGTTCAAGTATATTGTGTCATATTCATAGGGTTCCTAGTTTGCATCTCTCTTACATCCAATTTCAGCCAGAATAAGTTTCTCGATCACGATGCAAATGAACGGCTGCGCATGGCGTGCCCCTGCATATTTTTGACTGAGCCAACCCATGTTTGTGCGTATCTCTAACTCTACTTGTTTACTTCCACTAACATGTCTTTACTGTCTGCTTCCTAGTTCCTACAGTGCATTCTTATAAACTTGTATGTGTGTGCGGTGCTTGATAGATTGTTAAAAACGCCTAAAATTGCCAAAGAAATTAAAATTTGGAAAAAAAAGAGTCAAACTTTTGGCTTGGTAGTATTCACCCTTCTCTAGACATACTTACCAGCCTTACAGAAGCCGTTATCAGACTAGCTCATCAGCGAAAACAGATCGCTAATCGGGGTGAACGGTCCGTGAGGTAAACCATCTGTACATCTGAATCTACGATGACATCATCACTCGGTGATTTTTTTTTTGCAAGATCTGTGCATGCATGCCATGCCATGTGCTCTCTACGTAAACAAAATCCGGCAGCACTGAAAGATCAAGGTGTTTATTACATGGTGCACCTTAAAACATCCCCCACAAAAGCACACACGCAGCGTGCACAAGTCGTACCGGTGCGGTACTCGATCCATGGCGTTCATACCAAAGCCACACTGCCCGTACAATCTCTTGTACTCGAAGCGACCCATCATGTCATGACTCACTCACTCACTCAACCCGCTCGTGAAACACATTCACGCACGCCTGTCGAACCGAGGCGTGCCGCCTGCCGCCACCGACCGCCACCGCCACGCGCACACGGGGACAACGGGACCAATCCCCTCCCTTCCATCCCACGGCAGGCGCCTCCCTCCTCCCCACCCCACCCCCACTCGCGCGCACGTGGCGCCGCCCCGCGCCGCATCGGACGGCCCGCCCGCGCCCATCCC